TGTGTGTGTGTGTGTGTGTGTGTGTGTGTGTGTGTGTGTGTGTGTGTGTGTGTGTGCATCTGTCTCTCTCTGTCTCTCTCTTGCGTGTGCACACCCTACTTGAGATCAAAAAACGAAATGCAGAATTAGGTGGACCAGGAAAGAAGCTTGCGACTAAATCCAATGTAATTTTAGACCCGATAAAAAAACTCTCTCGGTCTCTCTCTCTCTCATCGAGACTGACAAATGAAATGCAGCGTCTAGGTCAGCCGGGAAATGACAATAAAACGAAATGCACAGCCAAGATAGGGTGTTAAGGGGAGAGGAAGGAGGGAGGGAGGGAGGGAGGAAATATGGCATTAGGGAGGAAGGAGATCGAGTGAAGTTCTGTAGAGGGAGGGAGGAGGGAGGGAGGGGGAAGGAGGGAGGGGGGAAGGATGGAGGGAGCATCACTCTCTCTCTATTCACCTCCACTTCCTCCTCTTTCTCCCATTTCTTTCGCAGACCACCACCTCCACTTTCTCCTGTTTCTCCTCTTTCCTCCTAGGAACCCTCAACCCCAATTTCTCCTTTTTCTTTCTCAGAACCTTCACCTCCTCTTTCTCCTCTTTCTCCTCTTTCTCCCCTTTCTCCTCTTTCTCCACTTCCTCCTCTTCCTCTTCCAATACCTCCTCCTCCTCCGCCTCGTCTTCTTCCTCCACCTCTTCCTTGCCTGGTCTTTCGTTCTCATCACTTTCTTCCTCTTCCTCCTCTTCCACCTCTCTGCTCCCCAACTGGTCCTCATCTTCTGACTCTTCCTCAACTGGTCCTTCATCCTCCTCACTTTCTTCCTCTTCCACCTCTTCCACCTCCTCACTTTCTTCCTCTTCCACCTCTTCCACCTCTTCCACCTCTTCCACCTCTTCCACCTCGTCCACCTCTCTGCTCTCCAACTGGTCCCCATCTTCCGACTCTTCTGCCTCTTCGCAGCCTTTCTTTTGCATGTCTGCTATCCTACTCCTGGAAGCTTTATGACGACTGGCGACTCCTGTCACTTCATTTCCTTCCTCCATCTCATTACCATCACTATACTCGTTCAGGTTGCTGTCCTCGGAGCAATCGCCTATCTCTGAATCTTCATCTTCCCGATTCTCATCTTCGACTTTGTACACTTTGCCCCCATCTCCGCAGGATTCCCAATCTGTCGACTCATCTTCCACTTCGTACGCCTCATCTCCATCTTCGCTCGACTCATCTTCCACTTCGTACACCTCATCTCGATCTTCGCTAGACTCATCTTCCACTTCCTACACCTCATCTCGATCTTCACTCGACTCATCTTCCACTTCGTACTCCTCATCTCGATCTTCGCTAGACTCATCTTCCACTTCCTACACCTCATCTCGATCTTCACTCGACTCATCTTCCACTTCGTACGCCTCATCTCGATCTTCGCTTGACTCATCTTCCACTTCGTACGCCGCATCTCGATCTTCGCTCAACTCATCTTCCACTTCATACCCCTCATCTCGATCTTCGCTAGATTCACAGTCCTCTGACTCATGTTCAACTTCGTATGCCTCATCCTCGTCTTTGCCGGACTCATTATCTTCGGCACGATAATCCACACTGGCAAGTGTTATTCGCTGTCGAATCTGAAGGATGGGAGTGTAATTACTAAGGAACTCGTCGTAGTCCCGCCCAGGCTTGCAGACTACGAAATCGGCTAGGTCAGAATAGTCATCCCCATCATACTCCCCCATCTTTATCTCTTCCTCAAGTGCAGCCTTGATGAAGGGGTTGCTGTTCGTGGGCACTGCTTGTCTACACAGGTCCCTCTTCGGAGTCTCCGCAATCACACGCTGATTTGTTGAAATTTCCTCTCGAGACGTCATCTTCCCAACTGTCTGTCCGGTCTTCCTCTTCTTCTTTCGATTCGAACAGGGACGCAACCCATTTTCAGCCTTCATTCTTCTGCCCTTATGTTTCTTGCCCCCTCCCTGCTTGGTACCACCTGCTGTCACCGCTTGCCTGCACATCTCCGTCTTACCTTGCGACCTTTCTTCTGCCTTCAAAAGCTGTGTTATGCCTGTTGCCTCAGAGACACACAAAATACTATAATCACAACTTCCATGCGATTTCGCCGATTTGCAACGGTCAGGATGTGTGCCTCTGCCCTGGTCCATATTCCCATGTTCAACTCCACTGACTACCTCTTTCTCCCCGTTCCGACAGTGTGAATCGGACCGCCTCACCATGATCGTCCGACGTTGAGTCTCCGACGAAACTGCTTGTTTCTGCTTGTCCACGGCCCGCGCACTGCTCATTTGCTTATTGCTGTAACCCTGTCCCCGCCCATCCAGCCCTACAGGTCTGCCCTGGTTTTCAGCATCGTCATCATAGCCATCTTGATAAGGTTGCTCTTCTGCCTCTATACAACCGCTTCTCTCTTCTGTGCCACACGTACTCCCTCTCCTTTCCGTCGATTGCTCCGTGCTCTCCTTCTTCCTCTCGCCCGCTCCTGCTGCATCCTGATGACCGTCATCTTCTTCGTGGCCGGAACAGCTTTTTCTGCTCCAATCGAGTCTCGTCTCCGATAACTGTGCTCTATCTCTGTTTGTTTGAATTTGAGATGATGCGCTGACATTGGTCTATGCATTTTCACACCTACCCCTAGTGTGCTGGGTATTTGCCCCACCCAGAGCAGTCTTGTGTTTTGCTTTGACGTTGTCGATTGCTCCGCTTTTGTCGCTCTCTGCCACTCCCTTGTCTTGATCCAGAAAGCGAACTTCATGAAACAAGCCTGCTGTTTTTGTCTTCCCAGCCTCTGCCTGCTCATGCCACGCCTTATAATCCTTACTTCCTTCTTTGCATAATCCACTGGTCCGTTGGCACATTCTCTGTTCGATGAATTCGACACTGCTCAAAAGGGATCGACTGCGGACCGGAATGGCATGTGCCTTCGCGGCGAAGCAGTGTGACCGTGCCGTGGGGTCGTCCTTCTCCTTCTCTCCTCCCACTGGAACCTGACTGCCGATGTTCGCAGCAATGTTGCACTTCCTTCCCAGGTCCAATTGCTGTAATTGAGGTCTAGTATAAATCTTTGATGCATAGGGTTCTGGCGGTTCGGATCGGACAAAACGTGTGGCATTTTCCAAACGATCATTCTCGGCTGAAGTCCTTTCACCCGCTCTCTTTCCCAGCTGATCTACTGCGTTTCTGCGATCCAAACCAGTATAAGAAAGCACAGTAGAATCACACGTTTAGCTCTTTGTGATCGGGGCACCTGCTGGTCAGACGGGCTGCCAAGGAGCAGCACCTGCCATCACCACCACACCCATGAGCAGCACCTGCCATCACCACCACACCCATGAGAGCCTCTTTCCAAGGCTCGAAGTAAGGGGGAACAATTGGGCATTGATTCTGGCTCATTCGTTCATTAATAAAAAGTATTAAAACTAAATCACCTGTTGCAGCTTTACCCTGCAAAGCCCTCTCTCTCTCTCTCTCTCTCTCTCTCTCTCTCTCTCTCTCTCTCTCTCTCTCTCTCTCTCTC